TTAATTGTGGGAAGTGGTTGTGTCATGTCGGATGATGTGCATTTTCATCCTCTGTTTTCTGTGTGGTCTGTGGGGCGTCATGGATTGGATGTGTAGACCTATTATTTTACAGTGTTCTATTATTGTCTAGTGTTACATCGGTACCTGTTGGCGTAGCGGTGGTGTGGGCGTGTGTCGGTCTCCTTGTCTTGGCTTTTTCAGTGAGCTGTTTTTGCTTATCAGGAACGCTTGTGGTTAGGCTGGTGTGCGTAAGGTTGTGTGTAGGCTGTCTGAAGTCTGGTGTGGGTGGTGTGGGTGGTGGTGTGTGCAAGCGTGATGTTAGCGGGTGGAGATATGTAAGTGTGCGATGGGGAGAGTAGAAGATGGGGAGGGGAAGAAGGAGGAAGTGAGAAGACAGAGAGAAGAGGGAAGAGAATGAGAGACACAGAAGAGAAAAAAAGGGGGGTGGAGGGTGGTGGTGGGGAGTTCAGACGTGGTGAAATGGAGGGATTAATGTCTTTGGGATGAAGAGGGGTGTAGCGTGTTGGGTGGGTCGTGGTGCGAGTTTGGCTGAGGTTATTCCGCCTCCTGTCAGCCCGGGGTTCTCACGTGGATTGAGGGAACTCATTGAGCCATGGGTCCCAGATTTTGTTGAAGTTGGTGGTAGTGTCATGTGCCAGGGCGGATAATTTAGCCATCTTCCTTGCGTCTTCTGTTTTGCATATCACCGTTTGCAGCGATGGTACCTCAGGCCGGCCCCATGTTTCATCAATTGCCCTCCTTGTTGCCAGGGCTATTCTAGCTACTAGTTTATTTTGACATCTGGGGGTGTTTTGAGATGTTTTGAAAGGAGACATGTCCATGGGTCTAGTGGGATATTTATGTGTAGTTCTTTGGATGCTAATTGTGATATTTGGAGCCACAGGTGAGCTATTCAGGTGCATTCCCACCAGATGTGGGTTTTTTTTTTTACATTCAGTAATGATAAGGGGCAGTAGTGGCCTGGCTCTAGATGTGGTGCCTTTTGTTTCCAGCACTGGTCAGTGTTCGAGATGTCCCTTTTGTTTGAGCCAGAGAGGAGTGAGGTACCAGCGCATTAGCATTTTGAAGGCTTGTTCCTTGTGATTTACGAATATCAAGACTGTGGCCTTGGCCTCCCATATGTCTCCCCAGTCCAAGGGGTGTTCTGGTGGTCCCAGATCCCTCTCCCAAGCCAACATGTATGTTAGTGAACCCTCATAGTGGGATGTGATTATAGTTGCGTAGAGAGTGGAGATCTGGCTTTTTTGGATTGGGCAGGTCATGCAGGCTCTTTCAAAGGGGGTGAGTTTCGCGGTGCCTGCTCTTTTATTGATTGGTGTGTCTAGGAAGCTGCGAATTTGGATACAATAAAAATGATCGAATGTGGTTAGTGGGGTTTGCTGGGGGAGGTCTGAGAAGTGGAGTAGTGTTTGGTTATGGAAGAATGTGTAAAAGCAGAGGAGGTCGTTGTCCTCGAATCTGGAGAAATGCTGTGGTGTCATTCCGGGGACGAACTGTATGTTGCGTAGAACTGGCGTGAGTGGGAAGGGGGTGCCTGTCATAGAGCATTTGGTTGTAATCTTGTCCCAAATTTTGAAGGAGTTTAGTATTGCTGGGGTGGTGGTGGGTAATTGTGGTCTAGCTTGTTTGGGTAGTGATGGGAAGTCTCTGCCAAAGATTGTGTGCTCCAGGTCTACCCATCGCTTTATGCCATAGTTAGTGTGTAAGTGTTGTGCCTGTGCTAGTTGCACCGCATGATAGTAATGTATGTAGTGAGGGAGGCCCAGGCCCCCAGATCTGTTTGGTATGTAGAGTGTCACTCTTTTAATTCTGTCTTTTTTCTGGGCCCATATGAATCTTTTTGTTTGGGTTTGCAGGGCTTTAAAGTCGGTGGTGGCAATTTTTATGGATAGTTCCTGGAACAGGTAGAGGAATATGGGAAGTAGATCGGTGATGGTTAGCAGTAGGTTATCCGCATAGGTTAGCAGTAGGTTATCCTGCTGTTTTGTATTGTGCGGATTGTGATTCCCACTATGTCTTTATTATGAGTCAAAAGAAAAAGGGTAGTTGCGCACACAATGGTTTATTGTGCGATAGGAGTTGGGATTTTCTTGTTTATTACCATCCAAATGAGGTAGTATGTGTGATGTTATCGCTAGTCTGCCTGTTGGGGATGAATCCCACCTGATCTGGATGGATTAATTTGTGTAGGTAGGGGTTCAAACGATGGCAAGTATTTTCATAAATAATTTGATATCTACATTCAGTAATGATAAGGGGCAGTAGTGGCCTGGCTCTAGATGTGGGGGTTTTTCGGAAGAAGGCAGATGTTGGCCTGCAGCATTTCTTTTGGTAATGGGTCGCCATTTCGTATTGTGTTAAACAGGTTTCATAGGTGTGGGGTGAATGTGGTCGTGAATGTTTTATAATATAGTCCTGTCTATCTGTCTGGGCCTGGGCTTTTATTTATTTTATTTACATGTTCACCAGTATCCTGAGTGTATTCTATAAGCATGAATGTACTATTTGCTAGTCACACCCCTGTTTTGATTTTGTTATTAAGTATTTTTTAACTGTTTTGAGGACATTCAGTTAAAAGTGTGTTTTTGCTGCTCACGGTTTCACCATGAAGAAAGTGCATTGATTTCACATATTTTTGGTTCATTTGCTCAAGCTTAACCATTGTCTCCAGTGTCACCATGATTCCCAGAACAGTTTTGGTATGAGTGGGACAGGAAATATAAAAAAGGACAGATAAAAATGGCATGGAAAGGATAGAGGCTAATTTAAGCACACTGCTACAGTAGTTTTGAACAGCTGGCCTTTACCTAATAAAGTGGCAACTGTGTGAATATTACAAAATATTTATTTCAGCTTATTAAATGAAAAGGTCACCCACTATTTATTAAACAACATATGTGATAATAATTATATATTTCATGCATATAAAGCCAATTAAAGGTAGGTCTCCAGCCTGTGTGGCTGGAGCTGCAAATGTATTGATTGTGTTTCTAGATATATCAAAATGAGAAAAGATAATGACTTAGCACAGGATATGACTATATGTCATCTAGATAAACAAATGTCTCCAATTAATTTTAGAGACAATATCAATTGCATTAATAACATATAGTTAAGCGTTTAAAAAGATTAAAAAATAATAATCACACGCGTTTATGATTGATAATGACCCTTCAATTTTTTTATATTTCAGAGAAGATAGCTTTTTCTAAGACAACATTGACAGAAGATATAGGGTTTCTTCAAGTTCTTTTTGAAGCATTCCAAAAATGGACAATTTGTAGCCATTTACAGGAACTTGTTCACATGAAAAGAAAAATGTACCTGTTGTCCTTATACAGGGGCGGACTGAGCACTCGGGCAAATCGGTCATGGACCGAGGGTCTGGGGGGGTCCGTCCGTCTGCCATGAAAGTAATAGCTGGGCTGGGGAGTTAAACAATCTCCACAGCCAGCCAGCATACAGTCAGTCAGGGGCCCGCACTGCACTCTGCGGGCCCCTGTTACCAAATACATTTCCCCCTTGGGCAGGCACAGTCAGAGACAGCTTAAGGGCCCTCCCAAAGACCCACTAGGCTGTCTCTCACTGTGCCTGACTGGTGAGCAGAGGAGGAGAGCTGTCTGTAGTGCTGAACAGGCAGCTCCGTGCTGTTCCTGATAGAGGAAATTACATCATGTGTCAAAAGGTCAGGGAGCCGTGCGGAGTTGCCTGATCTGTGTTAGAGGCAGCACTTCATTGAGAGACAGCATGCTCCAGTGCTGCTGGGAGAAGGATTTCCCCCTCTGACCAAAGGTAAGGCTCCTCTTCCCCCAGCAGCTCCTCTTCCTTCTACCCCCTACTGCCCCTACATCCACCACAGCCCCTACCCCTACAGCCCCCCTACCCACTGCTGCCCCTTTGCTCCCTACTCCCGGCTGCCCCTCTACCCCAGTAGACCCTCTGCTGTCCCTCTACTCCCTGCTCCCCACTCCATGCTTCCCCTCTGCCCCTATACCTCCTGCTTCCCCCTACTCCCTGCTGCCCCTTTACCCCCTGCAGCCCCTCTACCTTCTACCCACTACAGCCCTTACCACTACAGCCCCTCTACCTTCTACCCACTACAACCCCTATACCCACCACAGCCCCTACCCCTACAGCCCCTATACCCTCTACTGCCCATTTGCCTCCTACTCCCTGCTGCCCCTCTAGCTCCTGCTGGCCCACCTACCCCCTGCTACTCATCTACCCCGCAGGAGCT